AGGTCTCTGTCCAGCATCAGCTTCACTTACAACACCTGACAGTGTAACACTACCGGCTGCTCACTAAAGTATTCTCTCATATCAGATCACATACCTGTTACAGCGCTGCCTCTCTTGCTGCTTAATGACTGCCTTACTTTGTAAGACACCAGAGCTGCTGTCAGTTTATCACTTTTTGTGTCTGTGAACACAACATTTTATCCAAACTCAAAGTTTACCAACCCATCTATCCACCCACCCACCCGCCCATCCATCTGCACATCCATCTACAAATTAGGGTTGTGCGATATGACCAAAATCTCATATCCCGATATAAGACATTTATTATCCCGACAACAATACATATCACAAAAACTTTACATTTTCTGTAAAGTTTGTGAATCTCGGGTTATTTACCGTAATTGTCGGGCTATAAGCCGCTACTTTTTGCACAAGCTTTGAACCCTGCGGCTTTTAGTCAGGTGCGGCTTTTCTATGGATTGTCCATGATTTTTGTCATATCGTAAGACGATTTGTTTTGTTTGTCCCGCTGTCGTACGGCACTACGTTGCCTGGCGGAAGGGCATGTGATCAGACACACAGTATCGGGGTTCAAGAGTGGTATGTTGGTCACATGTCCATCCGCCAGGCAACATAGTGCCGTACAAAGTAGCGCAAAAAACAAACTTCAAAGTAGCGCTACGCGCTCAGCGGGAGGCGTGGATGATGAGCGGCGATAAACTTGCAAAAAGTACTTATTTAACTCTGTTACTTTTTCTGTCTCAGTAACTTTACCTTACTGGGTTACTTTGTCAGATTCTGTGTTGCTGAGTTTGACCTAAATATTCTGTTATAGGTTGCACATGAATTTTGCAACTTTTAGGAATAAAGTATATCATCACTGCTTTGCTAACACACCCCTCCACCCTGACCTCCACTCTGTGCTGATTTTGTAATTCTGGGGAGCTTTGCTGTCCCATGTTTCAAATGTGATGAATGATGACTGACTGAGGGACACCGCCCTATTGTGCCTCTTTGACTCTCCAGATCTTCAAAATAAGCTTCATGCTTTATTCAGTGAGACCTGAAAGCAGTGACTGAGACCACGAACTCATCAGGATGATGTTCACTGAGCTCAGAGATCAGGGGAGTGGGAGGCTCAATCGCTCAAAGACTTCTATACAATCAGACAGCCAGAGGAGTCGCCCCCTGCTGGCCATCAGAGAAATTGCCACTATAAGACAACTGTGCAGTGGATGGCTACCTACATGCATGTTTCATGTGTTCAGGTTATGGCTGCACTGGACTGATGTAGTGCAGACAGAGGAAAAGGTAGCAGGTAAAGTGGGCTTGGCCTTTATTGGAGGTGACCTCAGGTTGGCCCGAGAACTTGATGGATGGACCACATATCTACATTTGCTGTGGACTGCTGCAAGTACATCAGTTGCTCGCAAAGGACAATTTGACTTCATTCATGTTTCTACTGACATGACAGGAGCTGCCCCGTGCTGGGCATCAGGAGGAACGCAGGTTTAAGGCGCTTAAGTCTGCAGACCCACAAGCTTTGCCCATTTTTTCCGCCTTTGGTGGCGGCGCTCCGAGAATGCAAACAGAGAGTTTGTTTAGAGGAGATAACAATATTTAAATTTTATAATCAGGTTTGCAGCTGCTTGTATGAGCTGAATCATTACAGCTCTAATTCGCTGCACACGCTAAAGTATTCTCACTGCGCCTCGAGTCTGCAAACAGTTAACAAGTTCTCGAGTACACACACTCACACACACACCATATTCACAAAAACTCTGTCACGCTTAGCCTTTCCCTCCAATCAATTTGCGACACTCTTGTCTGAAACGTACTTTAATGTTCCAGGGCTCTTTCTTCTTGCCACTGCTGTTTAACACACTTCTATATGATCCTCTTATCCCCCCACCCCCGTCGTCTTTTATCAGCATGGAGCATTCGAGCTTCTCTCGCTGCACATCTTCACATCATGCAGTCAGACTCCTGATGACAGGTGATTGGACTGCAAGCCGGCCCCTCCCCCCACGCGCCTGTCCTGCACGCGTGCAAAGGAGCGGCCACAGATTAATGTTGTGTTTGGTGACGTCGTGTTAGAGGAAATAAGGGAAACTTTACACAACACCTGCACCAGTGTCCTCTGTGTGTCTGTGTGTGTGCACCGTGTTTACATGACTTTGTGAGGACCAAAAATTGCTACTATAGTTGCAAAGTTGTACAAAGTGTTCGTCCTCATGAGTCTGAAGACATTTTTGAGACTCAAAATGTGGTTTCAGTGTCAGGGTTACAGGTAGGTTAGGATTATGGTTAGGGTTAGACATTCATTTTTGATGTTTAGGGTAAGCAGCTAAGGAAAGGGTTATGTCATTTAGATGTCCTCACTAAGATATGAAGACAAGTGTG